ATCATTAAGTTCATTATAAAGATTAGGCTGTACGGTGTTTGGGAAAGATGATATGTTGTTTTCGAATTCATTAATATGAATCACTTTATCATTTATTGTTTGCAGGTGCAGCTCCTTATCTGATAAAGTACTGAATGGAAAAATTTTTTCCCTACATGAAATACAGAACCAAGATGTTTTAGAGTTTTTCATTATTCTAAATTCAATATCATTCAGACGACAACATTTTTTATGAAAAAGGTTTAGGCAATGATAACATTGAAGGTAGTGATGGTTTTTATTAATTTTCTTGAAGCAATCTTTGCAGTGAGTAGACATTTAAGTGGTACAGTTTATATAATAAAGTGATTGAATGAACTGAAATAAGGAAACAAAGAGTAATATGAACAGCAATATAACCAAAAATAATAAAAATAATAATAGTATTTATTAACAATATAAATATAATTCAATTGATAAAATAGTAAAACAAAAATAATATTTATTTAACAGTTAAAATAAATAATGAAAAAATACTATTAATATAGTAAAAGAAGAATAACGTAAATATATATTAAAAAAAAGTTATAATTGGTTAAATGATAAGTTGTAAGTATAAATTAAAACAATTTATATTAAAATAATAATAAATTATAAATGATTATAAGTAAAATATTATAGTTATAATAAGTGGAAAATATAATAATAAACTATTAAGTCTATGCTTAGTATTATAAGTTAATAAGTAAAACTATAGTAACTAAGCTAACAAACTATATAGATATATAAAAATAATAATAGTAATAATACTAGTAGCAATAATAACTATTATAATAACAATAATAAAAACAATAATAAGTATATATAATAATAAACAGTATAAGAAAAAAAAGAAAAAGTTGATGAAAACAAGCAAGAAAAGCTTGAAAAAAAATAATAATAATATTCAAAAATAAGAATAATTACATTAAGTTAAAAGCGTATTTTAAGATAAACAAACTAAATTCTTTTAAAGTTTCACAACAATCTTCCGGCACTACTAATACTTTTTCTTCTTTATTTTTTCGTCTTTCATAGTTTATTTAATTCTTCTTCTTTTTTCTTTTTTTTCTTTTCTTTTCCTCTCTACTTTTCACTTTTTATTTTATTTGTTTACTTCCTTTTTGTTCTTTTTTTTTTTTTTAATTTTTTTTTTGTTTTTTTTTAAGTTTTTTTTTTTAAGTGTTCCTTTTTTTTTTTTAATTCGAAGTTCTTTTTCTTTTTTTTTTTTTTTCTTCCTTTCCTTTTGTTTTGACTTTTCAATTTCGTTTGTTTAAAGACGATCTTAAGACCGCTATCAAATTATTTATGCATATAAAACAAAAAATTATTTACTTGTTATTATGATTTGGTTTTATCTTTAATTTTTATATTTATCTTTTCTATTCTTTTCTTTTTCTCTTTTACCGTTAAAAAATCGTGACCGCCATTTGCGAAGACCTACCACTGTAGATTAAAAGTTAAATCAAGGTAGTTCACAATTTTAAGATTACAATTGATAGAGATGTTGAGATTGTTACGTTTAAAAACTTGAACGACACGTTTTTTTATTTGATCCATTTGATGGCCATTTTTGTTCTTGAAAATAGCTAACCCGTCATCCCGATATAATCCGAAATCATTTTTGTTGTAAAACTGCGAAAGTTGATCTAAAATAAAAACTCCAACTAGTTCACAAATTTCCGCGCCATCATAGGCTCCCATGGTAACATCAAACAATCCTGCTTTTTTTTTAATCCATGATAAGCCACCGTTAAAAATGAAAGACTTTCTTGCATGATGTATAAAATTTACAAAGGTGTTTATCATCAATTTTTTGGAACAAATTTATTACATTTTGCGTATTTTGCCATTGGTTTAAACAGAGTCTGGTTCTTAATTCCGAGTTGATATTGGATAAAATAAGCTTTGACAGTCTTCCTACCTCATTCTTTGCAGGATTTAAAAGATGCACAGTAGGGTTGTTTAGGAAGTTGGCTTTATGGTCTTTTAAAGTTTTAAAACAATCAGCAGTTCCGTTTATCTCGATTCTATTAAAAATATCATGATTTTTTAAAATTTGCTTACTTTCTTTATTTACTACGTTCATTAATTTTGGGTCGGCTTTTTTATAAATAGAAGTGATTGCGTTTTTTAGAAGGTGGTTGTAATCATCTTTAGATATTTTGTACATGTTGGAAGTTTTGCCAGCTGAAGTTAAAGTTTTATTAGATTTACGTAAAAATTTAATGTCATTATTTACCTTTTCTTGAAATGTGTTGTTGAAATTGCGAAATTTGATAGTTTTAACGAGATTTATTAAATCTTTTTCAAATAGTGACATTTCTTTAATTTGTGGGGGGCACTTTGATGTGTGGAGGGCACTTTGAAGATTTTATTCCATAGTTAGTATAATCATTGAACTTAGATGTATCACCGAGTTGTTTGTTAATAAAAAATAGCGCTTTCCATCTCATTCTTTTTATAAGAGCTTCAGTTTTCTCGAGTAACTGCAGTATAAATTCTTTTCAGACGGTCAGGGTATATTTTTGATTGAGTAATTAAAGTTTATTTTTTCCATCTTTGACAATTTTGAGTAGAGTGCTCAACTAAAGGGAGCGTTTATATTGTTGTTGTATGATTTAGTATTAAAAATATAAAACTCTTGATCGTTGTAGAGTGCTTTAGTTTTTCAAAAATAGAGCGTTTTATACCAATCCAAGTAATTTTCTTTTTTGTTTAATTTGTTGTTTAATTCTTTGTATATAATATGTTATATACAAAGACTATTATTATTATTATTATTATTATATATATATATATATATATATATATATATATATATATATATATATATATATATATATATATATATATATATATATATATATATATATATATATATATATATATATATGTATATATATATATATATATATATATATATATATATATATATATATATATATATATATATATATATATATATATATATATATATATATATTAATATTTATTTATATACATTATTTAAGGTAATATTGAAGGACTAGTTGAAATCGCCCAAAAAATATTAAACATGAGTATTGCACTATAAGAAAAATAGTTATTGCCAAATCTATACCTTTTTTTGTAAAATATAATCTATCGTTAAATTAAATTCTGTTTACTTAAATCTTCAATTTTGTCAAAAGCATTTTTTCCTTATACCGCAAATAAATTACTCCTATTTTTTGCTATAAAAACGTGTCCCATTGTTTATTGTAAGGGTTTTTAAGGGCAATAAAGTTTCTTTTTCTTTATTATGGACGTATTGTAAGCATCCGTAGACCTAAAATATTTATCCAATTTAAGTCTGAAACAGACGTCCATTAAGTTCCAAAATAGACAGACGAAACATGTTGCATATGGACTTAAATTAGACGTCAAAATCAGACGTCTAAACTAAGACGTCTGAAGACGTCTGACGAGGGGATGATGGGACAAACACCACTTTCATAATTTAGTATAATAAAGTATTTCTTAGTGATTAAAACTGGCCTTTATTAAATTACATAAAAATGACAGTAAAAAAATTAAAATTTTAATATTACACTGCTTAAGAGAGTGTGAGACTGATATTTAGAAAACTGAACAGCAATATTAAAATAAAAGAGAAAACATTCTTTGATTATTCACCCCTTTCGGACTTTTACCTTCATTTAGTCAGTCAGAGCGACTTCAGTCAGTCAGACCGTCATTCTTGAAATTATTTAAGATGAAATAAAAAGGAATGAAAATATTTTTCTTTAATCCTTTTGAATGAAAAGTTTTTTCCTTAATTCTTTTGTCAATCAAAATAATAATAAAGCGTTTAAACATGTTATTTAAAGCTCATTTTTATTTTTGTTCTCATAATAAATGGATACAAAAAACATTCCATTACAACAATTTCAAAACTCGACACCACCGGTGGTTGTTATATAAACCAGAACCTGAAAAACATCTTCAAATTTGTCACAACAGTGGAAGTATAAACATAATAAATTTTGCGATTTTTTAAATTCAACTGGAAGATTTTCAAAGTTGATATTACAGATTTGCAAAATTCCTTTAATTGTATTGATTATACTTGTTGTAACATTTATACAAATCTGCTCCTCTGGATCATAAGAGAAAACTACTGTTTAATTTATTATTTTTTTGGAATTATATATATATATATATATATATATATATATATATATATATATATATATATATATATATATATATATATATATATATATATATATATATATATATATATATATATATATATATATATATATATATATATATATATATATATATATATATATATATATATACAGGGGTGAGACCGCAAAATGTGAACGTTTTTGTTTTATTATAACTATTTTCTCGTTAGATGTAGTTGAGTTTATTTGATAAAAAACGAAAGACAAAGTACTAATGAATATGTAAACAAAGTAAAATATAATATGTAAAAAAACAAAAATTGAACATTTAAAATAGTTCATATTTAACAGAAAATTAATTATAACAATCAGAAAAGTGTTCACATTTTGCGGTCCCACCCCTGTATATATATACATGTATATATATATATATATATATATAATATATATATATATATATATATATATATATATATATATATATATATATATATATATATATATATATATATATATATATATATATATAAACATATATATATATATATATATATATATATATAACCATGTATATCCTTGAAGTTGCTGCAGCATAAAAGTGTGTTTAGAGAAAAAAATTTATAAACCTGCGTTAATATCCCGTTTTCTATTGTACATAACGCGTTATAAAGTTTTATTACCCGTTTTGTTCGATGTTTTCTCCTAATGCATGCCTTATGACGCTGTCTGCGAAGATTTGTTGTTTGTTTCTATATTTTTTTTCTTTATTAGAAACAGAATAAATTTTAACTTTTTTAAATAAGTTTTTGCTAATATGGTTGAATATTACATCTGTGTAATGTCAACTAAAAATGCCAAATTATTCAGCCAGTCATTATTTTCAAGAAAGCTTGTGTCTTTATCTTTAATTTTTAGAAACTTTATTATTTCAGGTATTAATATCCAAAATCTTTTCAAAGTTGCAGCTCGACTAAGCCATCTAACTTGGCAGAAATAAATTACATCTTCTGCCTCACTTCCACAATCCTCAAGCAATTGTTTGAACTGTCTGTGATTAAGGCCACGACTTCTTATAAAATTAACAGTTTGGATAACAATTTCCATGACTTCTTTCATTTCTAATACTTTTGCACATAACTGTTCCTGATGTATAATACAGTGATATGAAAGAATGTTGTGAATAATGGATTTCTTAAATAATGCCACAAATCCAATATTTTTTCCTTTCATTGAACTTGCTCCATCTGTAGTGACACCAGAGAGTTTTGTTTCTAGCAAATCAAACTTTATCATTGTTTTTTTGACTTCAGAAAGAATATCTTCCCCTTTAGTAGTGCCTTTCATGTGCCTGAAATCCAACAGTTCTTCAATTATTTCAAAATTACTTGTTATAAATCTAATAAAAATAGCTAACTGAGCCGTATCACTTCTATCTGTTGATTCATCAAGTGCCAGACTATATGCTTCACACTTACATAGTTTTTCTTTCAATGCTAATTCAATATTCTTTGATAGGTCTTCAACCCTTCTTGCAATTGTCTGGTGTGAAAGACTGAGATCTTCAGCAAATTGTATTTTTTCAGGGCATACCTCATTACAAAATTGTTTTATAGAGTTTTTTATTAAATCTCCACTAGAAAAAGGTTGACCACTTTTTGCAATACTTTCTGCAATTAAAAAACTTATTTTGGTAGCACTGTATGAGCTAATTACTTTACTTTTCATTATTGATTGTTGCCCGATAAAATTTTTCTTTAGCAGTTCTACCTTATCAACACGAAGTTGGCCCTTGAATTTATCATAAGTTGCTGCATGTTTTGTAGTATAGTGTCTATTAACATTATACATTTTGCACACGGCAATTTTTTCAAAACAAATGAGACACATAATTGAATTATTTTGCTCCATTACAAAATATTCATTTGTCCAAGATGGGTTAAATATACGACCTCCTCTTCCACTTTCAGTTTCAGCTCTACGTCTTTTATTAGCACTAGCAGAAGCCATATTTAAAAAAAAATCAATATAACTATGGTTCCGCTAACCAAATAGTCAATACCGTTTTAACCGGTTTTTTAAAAAAAATAAGGCGGTAGTTTTAACCGTGTTGCAATTTTTAAAAAAATCTGATTTTTAAAATTATATTAAAAAACTGCCCTAATTCTGAGCTACAGAAAAAATAGTTTTAAAAATATAATATTCACTTGATTTTGTTAAAAGTTTTGAATGGTTTTTGATAAGTTAAGAATTGAAAACGCGGGCCATGGCAAAAGACAACGAGGGCCACTTTGTGGCCCGCGGGCCACGCGTTGGACAACCCTGATATAGTATCACTTTCGGGAAAAGATTTTACTTAAAAATGGATACTTACGGGGACATTAGCATTAACAGGGACATTTTAGTGTACCCGATAACTTTTTGTCCTCTTAAGTACCCAGCCGGCAAATAACGTTGAAATAACGTTGAAATATCGTTGAAACCTAACGTTGAATTAACGTTGATTTAACGTTTAGAATGAAAGTTTTTTTCAACGTTGATTTATCAACGTTAAATCAACGTTAGATGCAAACGTTATATCAACGTTGATTCGACGCGAAAAAACGTTACAACAACGTTGAATTTACGTTGATACAACGTTTAAAATGATAGTTTTTTTAACGTTGATTTATCAACGTTAAACGACTGTAAAATACTTTTTCACCATCAAAACGTGCTATGTATGTCAAAATGTATATATGTATGTAAACGTGCTATGTGCGTCAAAATATGATCACCATCAAAACGTACTATGCATGTACATTAGTGTTGCTGTACATTATCAAGGTATATTATGGGTATTAAATCTGTTCGTAGTCTGTACTTAGACTATTTAGAACTTTTTCAGTTTAGTTTAGTTAAAATAGCTAGGTATGATTAAAGAAAGAGATAAAACTTGTTTTATTCAAAAATACAAATTCAAATATTACATATATTTACATGTAATTGAATAAAATCTACACAAATTTCTTTTCTTTTCCACCACCTTTTTGAAATAAAGCGTAATTTAGAAAGTCAAACAATGTTCCATTAACCGAGGGTTCTTTTGGTCCATTGAGTACAATATAAGAAGCTGTAAATAAAAAAATATATTAAAAAAAACAAAAAAGAAAGATTTAAAAAATAAATAATGAATGGAAAAGTTTTACAACTTATGAAGGTATATCTTTTTCAACGCCATATAGATTAGTGTTCTTAAAACATATTTTTCCACCTTTGCCCTTCATATCCATGGAGGCATATAACTTTTCGAAAATACTCTGAATTTTTAAAAAATAATATAACTGTTAGTTGGTTATTAATAACTTTTTCAAATCTTTAATTTAAATAAAACAACCTTTTTAATATATTAAAAATAAATTAATAATCAAAATATAAAACATTTCTAGCATTGAAAAATAATTTTCGGGGTGGCCACATAAAATTTTTATAAGAAATTTTATGTGGCCATTTATTAATGGTTTAACGTCCATGTTTATACACTTATGGGGCTTGGACAGGGATCAAATAATGTCATTTGTTATGTTAAATAGCATGCATTTTCTAAAGCAATTTTTTACAATTCCATGCACTTTAAGGCGTTAACCAGTTTTGCAGACCGAGAATGGGTATTTTGAACATTATACATCCATCAAAAATTAAAAAAGGAAGAATTAATGAGGAGCTTTGATCAAATTTTTACCTCTTCAGAGGATAATAGAGGATTTTAGAAGTGGTTTTAAAAAAAGAGGACTTTAGATGATTTTAGAGTAGCTGTAGACACCCTGATTATAAATGAGGTAACTCCACCAATTAACTGCAATTGATTTATCTGTAAAAAAAACATGAAGTAAATCTAATATTATGCTTGTGGAGATATATTATATTGTGGAGAACCATCCAAACCACAAAAGTGGAAAATTTGCATCCAAGTTTCCACTTGTGTGCAAATCTTGCATTCATATGTAAACATTCTCATTATCACATTTTTCTTTTGTAGTTGTGAATTTAAAATTTTCACAATACTGTTTGCTTTCTTTTAGAATTGAAATAGTTATACAAATAGTTATATATTTTGTATCAACAAAATAACTCTTCTTACCACATTATTTAAAAAATAATAATTGTAATATATAGATGTAATACCTGAAGAGAATTTAGTTTTTATTTGTATAAACTTAAGCCAAATGCGGTCAATGCTTTGGTACCTGAAAGCCAACAAACAGTTTTATCACTAATCCAATTAGATGGAATTACTTCTTCTTGTAAATCTTCATTCCAAACAGCTCCTTTCCGCATATTCGATTTTGAAAAAATTACATGAACTAATATAAAATGAAGAAACCATAATATAAGTGTACTAACAGGCCTAATTAAACTAGCTAAATTTGAACATTTTATAACCATGATACTTGCTAAATAATAATATTAGTAGACATTATAAGCAAAGATAAGATTTTCTTTACTTTATAAATTTATTATATTTTAAACTCATTTTTATTAATTTATTTATTACTTTATTATTCAGCAGAATTCTGAATATATTATGTTCAAATAACTTAAGGCTCAATAACAAAGACAAATAATGAAAGAATACTAGGTTGCTAAAACATAAACATCTACATAAGATAATTATGGAATATTAAAAAAAACTAAAATACTCATTATTAATATAAAATATAATATAAGGTATATTATAATATATGACACAATAATATCTACTTTTAACTAAAATATAAAAACAACAAAAATTAAAAAAGAAAATATTTTGATAAATAATAAATTATCATTCAAACAATTTTCAAGACCAAAAAATAACTTTTAACTTATTTTTTTACTTATCTTCATCTAATAAACATTACATATTTTTTACTCATCTAATAAACATTAATATTAATACCAATTTTAAACATTTTTAGAACTTTTTTTTTTTATCAAAAAATAAAAATATTACTTTTTGGGCTTTTCTTATTTTACTTAAAACATCAACTCAATTCTAGGCTTTTTTCATAATTGAGTTTTAGTTTGTAATGTTGAATTAACACTGAAAAAAAAATTTATTAGCAGACAAAAAGAAAATATTTCTTTATTGAAATATATGTAAATATTTCAATAAAGAAATTTTAGATTGATTTTTATAAATATAAATTTATATCAATCAATCTAAATTTTTTTCTTTTCCGCTACCTTTTCGAAAAGAAGCACATTTTTAGAAGTTAGACAAAATGCCACCAATTAAAGTTTAGTCGCTCCATCGTAGTTAATAGAAGAAGCTGTTAAAAAAAAAGAATTAGAAAAAAAAAAAAAACACAAGGAGGAATTTTTGAATATATAAAAAATAAGAATAAAAAAGTTTTACATATCTTATAAAGGTATACCTTTCACTACACCATATAAATTAAGGCTCTTAAAGCATATTTCCACCTTTCCCCTTCATATTCATGGAGGTCACAAATTTGTTGGAAAATATTCTAAATTTTAATAGATAAGAGAACTGATATTAATTATGCGAGAACTAATATTAACTTTTTTTTTTAATTTAAATTGAACTCATGATCAAACAATTTTTTTGCTAAATAATTTTTCTAATTTTTTTTGCTAAATAAAATTCCTGAATATTTAAAAATTATTTTGATTACCTCAGCATTTAAAAGATATTTCATCAATTGCAATTGATTCACCTAAAAAAAACAAACAAGTAAAGCTAATATTATTGTTTGAAATTTTAATTATCTTTATACAAATACTCATCATATTTTTAAAGTGACTGATAAAAATGGATTTAATTAAAATCACTTCATTTGTATTAAAAAATTAATATTAAAGCCTTAATCATACATTATACTAGAGTATTTTGTAATACAATCTAAATAGTTGTTGCAATATGTAATTTTTTTATCCAAATTTTAGCTTCTGTAAGCTTTAGAAAGTTTTTAAAGAAATAATTGATGAATTTGGAGCTCCAGGTACTAATGTTTTTATATTGTTGTAATGTTTGTATTCATTCCCTGTTAGTTTCTGTAAGTCAAAATTTAAAGGTGTTTCCATAATAAATTTTGTTAAATCTGATATTTAGTGTTAGTCTGAATAATTTAATTTCTAAAATCTGTTTTGCATTGCCTGTCTTATAACATCTTTACTTGGAACAAAAACCACGTGGTTTAAAAGTGAGCTTTCAACAATGAAGAAAATATTGCATTCGCTAATCCTAAAAATATATTAAACCTGTCAGCAAAATCAGCTGTAAATAATCCAAGTATTAGCATTATTAAAAATTCATCTTTGCTGCATTACATTTATTTTGGTCCAAGTAGTTAAGGATTTTTTTAAATTTCAAAAAACAGAAGTAAATGTTTTTTTAATATCACTTTATCTCTTTTGATTAATGGTGATACTTCACTAACTGATGAAACACATTGACAGATGTAAGGCCAGTATAAAAGTCGCATAATCTATTATTTTTAAAATAAATGTTTGTATACAAGTAAATTGCAATAACACGATTTGTTTGGATTATGTTTATATACAAATTTGTCTTGTTTCATAGTAATAACTGATGTGGTTAAAGTTAATTTTTCATATAAATCTTTATTTTTTTATTTCGTGCTGAAGTTCTTTTTTAAAGTTATCAATTTCAATTTTTAATTCTTGATGCTCTATTAAAAAACAACGCTTAACATTAAATTCAACATAATTTAATGGATAATTTTTTGAAAAAGTTGTATTATATTTACATTTAATAATATCAGTCTTTGAGCATTGTAGCTCAAGTTAAACGAAAAATATCGATTTTTAAACGATAATGTTCTTTCAGAAAAATCGTCTGAACATGTTTTCGATCTCTTGAAAATTCTATATGGTATAAGTTCAGTATTTACATTTTTTTCCATTATAAATCTCTATAACTTTAACCGTTGAAATAATGTTTACGTTTTTACTTCCATTTCTGCGCGCGCATAAATTTTATATTGAAATAATGACGTTGAAATAAC